TAATAAACAGAATCGTTCCTGATAATTAGAGTTCCTAGCAGTCTCAATTTGCAGAGCTGGGAAAGAAGCCCCTGAACAAAATGCTGACACAGAGGAAATTAGTTGCTTATATTCCCGAATGCATAAGCCAGATGTATGAGTCTGATTCTTGACCCAATGGGATGTACTGCCACAACCCTACTTAAAAAGATGTTCCAATTCCAGAGAGAGGCAGCCAGAGCACTTGGCCTGATTTCCCAGGTGAGTAGGTGGTACTCTGCTGCTGTAGTCTCTGAACATGCTGCGGCCACCCACCCCACGGAGAAGCAACATCACCCAGAATGGTGCTTCTCCAGGGGGGGTCAGGCCAGTCTTTGATAGCTCCAATGCCTTGTACAGACAGCCTGTGCCATTTCCAGCATCCTCAGTGTATAGCTGGGAATCTTACCTCTGTTCTTCATAAATAACAAATCAGGCTTTACAAGGAAAAATGTACAAAAGTGGACACTATGTTGGCAATCTCACCAGCAATGACAACAAAAGGTTTGCTCATATCTTTAAAAAAAACAGCAAGGCAGAAGCTTACTTAGAGCTTCTCTACCATCTGAGATATTTAATCCAGTACCTGCCATAACAAGGTGATTGCTAATCATCTCAGGGATGCCCTGACTTCCTCTGTGTGGGCAACATCAGGACCAGCTATCCATCTCGGTTATTGTTTGGGGGAAATCCTTAGACATCTCTTTGCTTTTGATCTTTAGCCTGTTTATTAATATGAGTAAATACATAAATATATAAATAAATTTTACCCCCCAAATGGTGTTTTTATTCATCTTTTTCACCCAAGCCTTCTCTTACATAAAATAATTCTTTTTCTCTTCTTTTTCATTGATTAACTGCTTTGCCTTCTCAAAAACAAACAAAAAAACAAAACAGACAAAAAAAAAACCTTGGATGATAGAGGATTCATTCATCTATTCACTCAACAAATAATTATTGGGTGCCCATTATTTTCCAATTCCTGTTCTAGGTGCTAGAGGTAAAGAACAGAACAAAATAGACAAGAATCTGTGTCCACGTGGAGCTCATATGTCACTGGGAAGATCCCCCGCCAACTGTCCCAGGAGCAGAACCCGCACTGGTACAGGTAGCCTTATTAAATCCAAGTCTCATACCAGCTAGTGACATATTTCACTTGCTTCTGCTGTCTTTAGCCAGCTCCTCATGTTTGAGGCCACTGACAAGTCTTCATCAGCGAATCAGGCCCCCTCAGGTTCCCCGAGCAATTTTCACTTAGATGGGAAGTATGCTAGAATTCTTGGGCCAGAAAACTTGAAATTTGATTTGCTGACACCATTTCTGATGACCCAGCTGCAGATGCTAAGCCTCTTTCCTCTTCATTACTGGGGTAACTGCTGAAAACTGGGGCCTGAATTACAAAGACCAGGGTGATGAATTATGCAGCACCCAAGTAACAGCAAGTTAGAACTTAGTAGGAGCTGTCTGGGTTCTCTCCGAAGTTATTGCCAATTTCCCCCTCTTCCACAATGCCACACTAGCATAAGATCCAAGCGTTAAAATTCAGTCTGTTTCCTGGACCTAGTACTCTGCCTACCTCCCAGTAAACTTCTCATCTGGGCCTTGGGTCCTGCCACATTTGATCAGATTTCCCAGATACCTATATGACACTTAATTTGAGAGTGATGGCCGCATAGATTCACAGTTAAGATTATGGAGTCAGGCTCATTAAAATCATGAATCAAACACTATTTGCAAGGTCTGGAGCAAGTGATTTAATCCTCTGTGCCTCCATTCTCTTGTCTGTAAAACAAGGATAATAATAGAACCCACCTTGCAGAGTTATGGTAAGGTTTCAATAACCTAATACGTATAATACCAAGAATATTGCTACTTAGTAAGGACTCCAATGTTTCCTACCTCAGGAATATTAAACTCCTGTTTCATTGCCAAAAGCCAACCAGAAGAATGGAATGGGTTTGGATCTGAATCTTGTCCTTTAACCACTTTTCCTGGTTCTTCCAACTGCTTCTCCAAGGCCAGTCTCTTTGCCTGGGTGAGTTTGCCTTAAACCCCAGGCCCCTCACAGGCAGAGTTCAGGACTTTCTGGATGGCTGCAAATTCTCTACCAGTTTTGTTATATGGACAAAGCAGCCCAACAGAGTTATAACACCTTATAAATCCTATGAACGGTAGAAGCCAGTACCGTACTATTGTATATATTTCAACATTAAGAATAGTTTTAAATGTTTCTGGCTTATTTATGTCATCTGTAGAATTGAGACAGACTTAATGAAGAGCATAAAATCCTCCTTCAAAATTCTTTGAACTGAGAGAAAGAGAGAGGTTATGTTAATATATAGCATGGTGGTGTTAATCAAGTTGCAGAATTAAGAAATTATAGACTCAAAAAAATAAAGTCCATGAATAGCTAAGTCAATCGTCAACCTTTAAAAAGAAGAGTAATGAGGGACATTCACTTCATAAGACTCTAAAAGATGCTTTTAAATCACAGAAATAACAACAGTAGGATATTGATACAATAGGAACAAATAGAGCAATGGAACGGATTAGAAAGCTCAGAAAAAGACCCAGGTACATATGGGGATTTACTGTAATAAAAAATTGGCACGGGGGGCTTCCCTGGTGGCGCAGTGGTTGAGAGTCTGCCTGCCGACGCAGGGGACACAAAACAGAGAGAAGTAGGCTGATAACCGTGGCCATGGCCGCTAAGCCTGCGCGTCCAGAGCCCGTGCTCTGAAAAGCGAGAGGACACAAAAGAGAGAGACCCACAAAAAAAAAAAAAAAAAAAAAAAAAAAAGCTAATATCTAGAATATAGAAGGATCTTCTGAGAATCAACAACAACAACAAAAAAGACAATTCCAACACTTTTCATGGGCAAGGATAAGAATACACAACTTACAGAAGAAGAAACTTAAAAATTTAACAAGCATACAAGGAAATGCCCAAACTCAATGGTTATCAGAAAAACATTAATTAAAATAAGGCAATATCTCTCTATACTTACGACCCTGGCAAAAATTAGAGAACAGAAAATTGGAGAACAATGTAAAACATTGCCAGGAATGTGGGAACATACGAAACCTCTTTCTCCACAGGAGGGAGTGTTGGATGCTGTGAGCATCATGGAGAGCCATCTGGCACCACCTGAAAAACTGCGGGTATGCATAAGCTATTACCCAGCGATTCCTACTCTCAGAGAAATCCACAAGCAAACATGGTCAAGGTTGCTCCTTGCAGCACTGTTTGTTTGAGGGAGAAGTTAGAGGACATCAGTGGAAAAAATGAGTAGATAAAAAATACCGGGTGGGCTCCATGCAGCTGCATTGTCCAAAATAGGAGCCATCAGTCAGATATGGTTAATTATTTTATTTATTTTAAAATTTGTATTTAATTTTACTTGGCTCGAATTTAAACTTAAATCAAGTAAAGTTAAATAAAATTAAAAATTCGGTTCTTTAGTCACACTAGCTACATTCTAAGCACTCAATAGCCACATGCAGCCAGTGACTACTGTTTTGGATAGTACAGATATAAAACAGTTCCATCATCAAAGGAAGTTCTATTCAACAGTGCTGTTGTGGGAAAGTACACAGCAGTTAGAGGAAATGGATTAAAGGTTCGCATAGCAATACAGATGGTTCTTAAAAGCATAGTGCCTAAGAAAATAATTTGAAACACAATTAGGTACATTACATGACATCATTTGTAAGAGTAAAAATGTGCAGAGAAAATAATAATACATATTAACCAAGTTAAATCACTTAAATAAAACATACATATAAACCCAAATTGATGGTTTCATGGAGTTGGAGTAGAGTACAGGGACAAAAGGAAAGAAATGAACCCACCCATACAGATTTTAGAGCTGAGAGGAATTTTAGATTATCAAGTACACACCCTCATTGTGTTTGTCTTTCTCGGTAAAATTACTATATGAATAAAACATGATTCCTAACGCCAAGTAGTATATAGTTCATTTGGGACATGAATTAAATGCCCAAAGACAAGTAATACAAAAATTAAAAGACTTTGATAAGCACCTAAGAAAAAGAGGGATACAGGAATGCAAAGGTGTGAGAGATCAGGAATGATGTGGGGAAGAGGTGATACTGCAGATGGGCCTTGAAGATGGTGAAAGGGAATGAGGAAATGGAACAATAGCAGGCTTGCACAAAAGAATGGTGGTAAAAAACCACGAAGTGGAAGGAATGGTAGAGAATCAGAAATGAGGTCAGCAAAGGAGACTGGACCAAAAAGAGCTGGTGTGGCACAATAGATACCATGTAACCATATTGCATAGTTCCACTGGGAAAGTCTGGGTTCAGGTTCACTGCCGCAGAATAATTATTAATGCACCCTTTTCACTCTTAAGGTGTCCCAGTTTAGACTATAATATATATATATATATATATATATATATATATATATATATATATATATTATCCTACATACAGAGGCTGATAGAATACTGGAGCAGAGAGGTATTAACGGCTTCCTGGTTGCATATTCATTTGATACATCATATATTTGAATAAGTATTTCTCAGATGTTGTCATTATAAATATAGGAACAAAATTAAAAGGTGCACTTTTGCAGAAATAACTTTTTCTCTAATCTTTAGAAATGATGAGCTGGTCTGTAGGAAAAATAAAATAATTTAAATAAAAAATTTTATATGTGCTTCAAGATAATGGCCTGACATGAAACACCTCATCAACATCTCTATAACAGAGAATTAGGCTCTAATAAAGCCGACTGGAATTTTCACCTAATACTACGAGGTTGTTAGACACTAACACTAAAGTCACTCTAGCTGGAGGAAACCTCACCGTAGGTGGTAGCAAATTAAAACCGCCACATGTATCCTGTTACATATTTGTAAGAACACAGAGAAAAATTCAATTAGGAAAACTCAATTACAATCAGAGTGTGTTGAATGTTTTGATTACTAAAAATAAGTTGCTAAAAGCACAATTACCTCAATTTTGGTTAAGAGATCTTGCAGTTCTCCTGATTCATTCATTGACAAAATTTTCTCAGCACCCTATTAACAAGAGAGGGTAGGGGAGAAAGAAAATCCATTTTGTTAGTATTTGAGAAAACAAAGTTCTAGCCAGGAAAGTTTAACTCACAAAATACTGAACAGGGTTTTTCCCTTCAGATCTAAGTAAACTCAGAACCAGAAGGCCAAAGAGGAGAGGAAATTTCTCTCTCCTTTCACATACTCTCCCATCTAGTAAGGCTAATTGTGGGCAAAAGGAGGACTGCCAGCAGAAGGTGAGTACTGGGAAGTCCATCCATGCCTGTCAGACGAAGTCCAGAGATGGAAGGTTCCAGCACACCTTTCAGAGCTGTTCAGGGAGCCTAAGCCAGCCACCTGGGAAAGGAAGCCTCTGAGCAAATCCCCAGCCTGGGCTGCCTCTGCCCTATTCCAGGCAGTCCTGGACATGCCCCACTCAGAATCCTTAGAATCTATGTCCTTAAGGACATGCCCTCCTTAATGCTATTAAGATAACAGCAGCTAATAATAATGATAATAATAATAAAATTAATAACCACCCACAGTAATTAAGCACATATTAGGAGCCAGGCATCCAACATCATCTAATCTGATGTGCTAGGCTCACTTAATGGTAGAAATTGAGCCTCTGTGAGATTAAATAACAATTGCAAGGTCACCCAGAGAGAAAGCAGAGTGGGAATTTGAACACAGGGGAATTACTCGAGTCAATGGAGTAAAACTCTACTTAAAAATGAGAACCTGGGCTTCCCTGGTGGCGCAGTGGTTGAGAGTCCCCCTGCCGATGCAGGGGACGCGGGTTCGTGCCCCGGTCTGGGAAGATCCCACATGCCGCGGAGCGGCTGGGCCCGTGAGACATGGCCGCTGAGCCTGCGCGTCCGGAGCCTGTGCTCCGCAACGGGAGAGGCCACAGCAGTGAGAGGCCCGCGTACCGAAAAAAAAAAAAAAAGATAACTTTACCTAAAAACGCAAAAGGGAGGAGATATGGGGATATATGTATATGCATAGCTGATTCACTTTGTTATAAAGCAGAAACTAACACACCATTCTAATGCAATTATACTTCAATAAAGATGTTTAAAAAAAAAACTTGTCTGTGAAAATGAGAACTGGGATGATATACGCACTTTCCAACAAACTAATCATGTTTCTTTGAACTACCCCATTTTCCTTTCCTTTCCAGCCTCTTCTTAACCTTCTCCCACTCTACTTCTCAACATGCAGCCATAGAGGCCATAGAAGGAAGAAGTTATTCTTCCTTTTTTAAAATTATTTTTAAAGAAAACAGAAAAATTTTCACAGTTCTAGAGGCGGGAAGGCCAAGATTAGGGTGCCAGCATGGTCTGGTTCTTTTTTTTTTTTGTCTATAACATCTTTATTGAGGTATAATTGCTTTACAGTGGTATGTAGGTTTCTACTCTATAACAAAGTGAATCAGCTATACATATACATATATCCCCATATCTCCTCCCTCTTGCGTCTCCCTCCCACCCACCCTATCTCACCCCTCTAGGTGGTCACAAAGCACCGAGCTAATCTCTCTGTGTTATGCAGCTGCTTCCTACTAGCTATCTATTTTACATTTGGTAGTGTATATATGTCCATGCCACTCTCTCACTTTGTCCCAGCTTACCCTTCCCCCTCCCTGTGTCCTCAAATACTTTCTCTACGGGTGTCTTTATTCCTGTCCTGCCCCTAGGTTCATCAGAACCATTTTTTTTTAAGGTTCCATATATATGTGTTAGCATAGGGTATTTATATTTCTCTTTATGACTTACTTCACTCTGTATGACAGACTATAGTTCCGTCTACCTCACCACAAATAATTCAATTTCATTATTTTTTTCTTTTTATTTTAATGGATATACTTTTTTCTTTAATAGACCTTTACTGGAGTATAATTGTTTCACAATACCATGTTAGTTTCTGTTGTACACCAAAGTGAATCAGCCGTATGTGTACATATATCCCCATATCCCTTCCCTCTTGCATCTCTCTCCTACCCTCCCTATTCACCCCTCTAGGTGGTCACAAAGCACCGAGCTGTTCTTCCTGTGCAATGCAGCTACTTCCTACTAGCTATCTATTTTACATTTGGTAGTGTATATATGTCCATGCCACTCTCTCACTTTGTCCCAGCTTACCCTTCCCCCTCCCCGAGTGCTCAACTCCATTCTCTACGTCTGCTTCTTTACTCCTGTCCTGCCCCTAGGTTCTTCAGAAACTTTTTTTTTTTTAGATGCCATATATATGTGTGGCAGTATTTGTTTTCCTCTTTCTGACTTAATTCACTCTGTATGACAGACTCTAGGTCCAACCACCTCACTACAAATAAATCAATTCCGTTTCTTTTTATGGCTGAGTAATATTCCATTGTATATATGTGCCACTTCTTCTTTATCCATTCATCTGTCGATGGACACTTAGGTTGCTTCCATGTGCTGGCTATTGTAAATAGAGCTGCAATGAACATTGTGGTACATGACTCTTTTTGAATTATGGTTTTCTCAGGGTATATGCCCACCAGTGCGAATGCTGGGTCGTATGGTAGTTCTATTTTCAGTTTTTTAAGGAACCTCCATACTGTTCTCCATAGTGGCTGTATCAATTTACATTCCAACCAACAGTGCAGGAGGGTTCCCTTTTCTCCACACCCTCTCCAGCATTTATTGTTTGTAGATTTTTTGATGATGGCCATTCTGACTGGTGTGAGGTGATACCTCATTGTAGTTTTGATTTGCATTTCTCTAATGATTAGTGATGTTGAGCATCCTTTCATGTGATTGTTAGCAATCTGTATATCTTCTTTGGAGAAATGTCTATTTAGGTCTTCTGCTCATTTTTGGATTGGATTGTTTGTTTTTCTGATATTGAGTGGCATAAGCTGCTTGTATATTTTGGAGATTAATCCTTTGTCAGTTGCTCTGTTTGCAAATATTTTCTCCCATTCTGAGGGTTGTCGTTTCATCTTGTTTGTGCTTTCCTTTGCTGTGCAAACTTTTAAGTTTCATTAGGCCCCGTTTGTTTATTTTTGTTTGTATTTGCATCACTCTAGGAGGTGGGTCAAAAAGGATCTTGCTGTGATTTATGTCATAGAGTGTTCTTCCTAAGTTTTCCTCTAAGAGTTTTATAGTGTCTGGCCTTACATTTAGGTCTTTAATCCATTTTGAGTTTATTTTTGTGTATGGTGTTAGGGAGTGTTCTAATTTCATTCTTTTACATGTAGCTGTCCAGTTTTCCCAGCACCACTTATTGAAGAGGGTGTCGTTTCTCCATTGTACGTTCTTGCCTCCTTTGTTGTAAATTAGGTGGACTATAGGTGCATGGGTTTATCTCTGGGCTTTCTATCCTGTTCCAT